TTTATGTCAGTCTGTTACCATGGTTAATTTAAAAAATAAAAACAGGTGTGTAAATTCTGTTTTCCATATTTTTTCAATGACTGGTGACAACAGAGAATCCAAAAAGAGAAATTGAATCTACAGAATTCAAATGGCACAGAAAAAGTTTTCCGATATTTCGGTAATCGATTGGCACATCATTTCAGCAAAACTTGAAACCAGCAGGATTTTGAGTTGAGGGCTAAAATTTTTCAATATTAGAATGCTATTGAAAGCAAGGCTTTTTGTTCAAGAATTTCAATATAAATTTTCCGAAATTCTTTTAATTAATAGGTAAAATATCACTGAAATGGCAATTTATGCAGAATTTGCTTAACCACCAATAACTGGTTTTTTTTACCATGTTTCTTGTAAACTACACATTTGTATTGAATTGAATATTATTTTTAAAATCTGCAGCTAATAAGCTTCAAAATGGTAGGCAATTAGGGCTGTGCCAAATATCTGGATATTCAATCGAGCATCGAATATTTGAATACTAGTTTCCAATTTGAATATTTGAATGCAAAATTCATGAAAATGAAGGGAGAATTTTCTTTTGTTTTATATGGGGAAAATAGCACTGTGGAGGCTTGTTTCAAGCAGATTCAAATAGAAATTCAAAAGGAAAGTGACAGAAATCTTATGAAAATTCAAAAAGGAAATTATTTATCAAAATATTTCAAATTACAAGAAGTACTGGTTGTCTCTAAATCTTGCTAAATCAAGGCTGGAGATATTCCTAGATGTAAGAAGCTATTATAATGATAATAATGTTAAATTGTGCATGTTATTGAAACTGATTTTGTATAAATCCATATATGCATTGTTCATCAACAATCAGCCAGTGAGTACTGAATATTCAAATATTTGATCCAATTGACAGTCAAATATTCGAATAGTGAATTATTCAAACTGACCAATTTTTGGCCATCAGGTTGACATTTCCATGGAATTGCCCAGTTTTGGAAGAGCAGAATCTTGTCTTCCAGAAAGATTTCAGGCAGGAACTCTTCAGCTGAATGGATATTTGAAGGAAGAATAACAGGGTTGCCCAGCAGTACAATGAGTCAGGGTTAGTTTAGATGGTGCCCTAAAATTGAAGTGATTAAAGACAATAATCAAGGGACACTGGCTTCCAGTTGTCAGCCAATGTTGTTTCCAAATAGCAAATGTTTACAACTTTTTGCTGTTATCTTGAGTAGCTAGCAAGAAAACATTTTACGAAGTATTCAACACTGCATGCTAAAGTCAATGATTCCAAAAATGTGTGTTCAGCTGACAAAAATTTTTCCAGCTGCAACTTTGGATCCAATTACAGAAAGCATACCTGCAAACAGATCATCGTCTTCCTCTTCTGCAGGAGCTGTCTTCGTGTCAGGTTTATCCTAAATACAACCAAGATAAAGACAGGTTCACAGTACGCGTATACACCGTGCTGAGTGACTGACAGATACTACAGGCAGAGCACATGATTGCATTAAAGGAGCTAGTCTCTCTTCCAGTTTCTCAGTATTTCTCCTCTGATGGCAAAATGTGAACTCCAACAGCTGTTCCATGAATCACTTGTAACAAGAACCAATATTCACAGTGTAAGATGGTCCACATGCATACCATTCTTTCATGAAACAATTGTAACACAAAATTGACATCAAAATGAGTGATTTTTGTTTAATTTTTTTCTGCTTTTTTTTTTCTAACTTGCAGATCAAAGTTTTAAGGTTGTGCTACAAAATTTGGGTCTGCTGGGAAACCTGAAGCCGAAGCTATTTTTGGGGGGGGGGTGTCAAGCTTCAAAAGCTAAGGAAACTTGTAAGCTTACCTTCCCTCTACCCCACCCAATAAGCCTTATCGCAAATACTACATGGGTGATTTCGCACAATGGTAGAAAGGCATTGTGGGAAGGAAAAAGGAGCTGTTCCATGTCAAGAATCTAAACTGCTGCCAAAGTTTTGGAAGAGCCCATTGGCACATGTAGTATCTTATCGCTCAGTCCGTGTATTAGATATATCTTGACACGGAACAGCTGTCAAGATGATGAGGGATCAAGTGACGTAACGTTCAATGATCTTATTTTAAAGATGGCGACTGTGAGAGCGAGCCCGTGAGACTGAATGGGTGAAGTCAAAAAGACTAGAAAATACCAGAACAATGTGAGTAAAATCATTCAATAAATGGCGCTAACAAAGCGGAGAGGCTAAGGATCATCTCTGTGTGCAAAAAAAATTGCGGCCACGATGATAAAAGGGTACGCCGAAGATTTCAGTAAGCTGACACGAAATTGCATATTTATAAGGATGTGTGGCTGAAGCAGGAGAGAGAGTCCGTGCCACACAAGTGGGCCTGATCCAACCCCTACAAACTTACACCTTACCAACTTGCCCCCTTACCAACTTTTCCCCTGGCCAACTTGATTCTTTGCCCGTACCTACACATCACACAGCATGTGGCCCAAGCCACATGTGATGGGGCTGGGCTTGATTGTCCGAAATCTGGACAACTAAGCCCTAACTGAAGCAATCCAGATTTCATAGACATTCGGGGCCTACGCCTACCATGCCTACGTGGTATATTTATGAACAAAACTAATATCTCAGTAAACAGTAGCCACATGTGGAGGCTGAGTATCAATCTTTAACAACTTCAAAAAAGGCCCAGTTCGTACCACCGGTTTGTCGTCGATTTGGATTTCATCTTGATCGTCGTCGTCAAAAAGAGGCGGAGGCTCCCGGTCAGCCATTTTGTTCACGTGAGATTCTCAATTAGTCTGACATCCGGCCGGCAGGGGCCACGTTGATGTGATATGGGTAGACGAATGTTTGCGAGGCTGAAAAAAGACTGATGCTTTTCCTATGTTGAGGGCGCTACATCAGTGACAGAGAGCTAAAGGGTGCAGTGTTCCAATTCAAGGAAAATTCTCCGCCAGGCCGAGGCGCAGAAAAAGTACCCCCCAGAGATTGTTTCAAAAATAGGGGTCTGTTTGGGCCAGGAAATGGTGGAATTGTGTCAGTATGGCCCAGAATCATCTCTGTAGATTCAGGGGTACCCATCTGGGGGCAAAGCAGACAAAAATGGGATTGAAAATTAGTCAGAAGAGCTCAGGAAGGTGAGGGATGTCATTTGAAAAATGTCCGCTGGGAGGGCTTGGCAACATTCACTTTTTGGGGGGTGAGTTTGTTTTGGGCGGATAATTAAAAAATTCATGGG